TTTTTGTTGAATTTCTTTCTGTATTTGTTGCCTTTGTTGAATATTTAGTGCATTTTTGATTTGTTGAAATTCTGCTTTAATTAGAGATAGAGAAGGAGAAGTACTAAGAAGTTGATTATCTGAATATTGTTTATAATATATATTAGCAAGATCTTGGAAGTTTTTATGATTAAAGTAGTTTTTAAAAAATTGAATTTGTTTAAAGTGATAGTATAATAAAAAGAGTTTAGTATTTGAGTTCTCTTTGATTTCTTGAATAGTTATAATTTTTTTGAAAGGAATATGTTTAACAGAAGCTTTAGATAATGTTTTATATATTTTATTTCATAGTAGGTTAAGTTGGTTTTGTGATATTATATTTGTAAGTTAGCCTTGAAGTTGTTGTAAACTTTGAAAGGTTTGGTTATTATATTTTTCAAGTTGTTCTTTATTATATTTTTTTTATAAAAAAGTTTTTCTAGTTTTCTGTTTAGTTAGTAGAGTTTGAGTAATTTGAAATATTAATTCTAATGTTACTAATTGATAATCTGATTCTAGTTGATATTCAGATATTATATCTATATAAACAAGTAATATTACACTAAGATTAGTTTAGATATGATCAATTCTACTATTAGAATTTACTCTTGAAAAGTATATTTTAGTATATTAGAGAAGAATAAACAATAAGTATCTTTGAATTGTTGACTTATTAAAAATTTAATAAGTTGTAATTCTAGAATAGAGGATTTTTTTGAAGAAAGTCTATTTAAATTTCAGAAACAAGATATATGCTTTTAAGGAATTACGTACCATCTGCATAGTTATTTCAGACATTCTACTGTGTATTTTTGCGTTAGATTTAGATCGTAAGTTGCAATACTGCATTTTAAATCTATTTTCGCATTGTTTTTTTGACCAAGATTAGTACATACAAAAAAAGTTGTGGCAAACATGTCAGAAGAATGGCTTGAAAAAGTTATTTCCAAAAGGTATATCGATTATAATAAATTTACAGACCCTATTGTAATCGAAGTTTTGGAAATTTTATTAAATACGAATAGAGAGACAGTGAATTAACAGTTGTTTAATTGTCAAAGTCAAAACAAACATCGATGAAAGAATCATTAAAGATTTTATTAATGAGTATTATTTGTTGTGTTAAAACTTTAATAGCATCTTACAATAGAATAATAAATTCATATAATTAATATAATTAGCTTAAACTATTGCGAAGAGTTTCATGTCATCAAAACGTTACATTCTATGGAGTAATAAAGGTAAACAAGTAATTTATAATTTTTGATTAACTAAATAATATGTTAAACAAAAAAAATATTTATCATATTAAATCGAATATATAGATAACAATGGATATTATAATATGGCTTTACAATATGCTAATTAAGAAACTTTACGAGAATATCTAATGGCAGATTTTTACGAATTTACAATGGACAGCTAAACCATGCATTGCTAAGGAAATAGCACTTGAGTTTTTTTTTACATGATAATTATATCATTCATAGAGATCTGGTAAATATGGCATTATATATATTTTACTTATAGTATTTATTAACTTGCTAATGCATAATTCGATCATTATATTTTAATAATTTTAGCATTCGAAAAATATCTTAATTCATCACAAACAATCAAAGATTATAGATTTCGAACTATCAAAGCAAATTAATAAAATTATTTCGAACTCAAATGCTCATGAATGCTGGCATATGTTGAACCTCAATGTCTTTTTAACCATGGTTGATACTTTAGTTGATTTTTTCATTATTGATAGAATCACTAATTTTTGACCGAACATAGGATTTTTAAATGAACATGGATTTTATGAGGTTGGAGGAAGACATTGGAATGTCGAGTTATATTTAGTGCAGACTAGAAGTTCCTACTATATTCTTAGGAATGAACGCAGCAAACTCCTAGTACTTTTGCCCGCACTGTTATTGTAATAAAGAAAATTTAATCAATATTGTTGAATATAATATGATTTCTAAAGATATGCATAAAAAATTAAAGAACCTTACTTAGTACTTAATGGACACATTCGACCTCCTCTTTTTGATATGATTTTGATTAAGCAATAATTAGTGATTTATATTATTTAATTTATTTTAATGAAAACCATTGATGTACAAATTGCTTGGGTTTATTTATTAGGTTATAAAACTTCAAATAATATTTGTTCACAAAAATTTTTGAACGTATAATATAAAATTATTTGTTATATATATTATAAGTAATGAAAGTGGAAGCCTATATATTTGCCATTTTAGTGTATGCAATAATTCGAATTAGTAATAGTAATTGATATAAATAAAAAATTAGATAAATTTTTAATAAAAAAAAAATCCTAATATGAAATAAAAAAGTAAAAATCTACCAGTTACCAATTTCCTTCGTCTGATCCTATCTCTGTGCATTTTTGAAAGTAAATGGATACCCTATGTTGGTATTCAACTCTGAGTCAATTTGTATAATAGCGATTTATTATGTTCTCTCCAAGAATGTAGCCCATCTTTGAAAAAGGATAAATATTTTATTTTCATCCTTTTTAGCTTCTAACATATCTCGATAACAGGGACCAGCTTGAAACGTTTTATCATAATAACATATATCAGCAGGTTTCTGGTAATAAATAGCTGGCCAGCATACTTTTTTTTTTAACTTCAAAGTTAGACGTTTATAAGATGAAGAAAAAATAAATTAATATTTTCGAAATTCAATAATAGTATCACATGATTAATTCTCCCAATACTAACACTGTAACAATCAGGTATTGTAGAATAATCTTGTCGAAGGGCAGGCGTCGTTATTTTGTTTTGATATGTTATATTCAAGTTTAGGCGAAGGTTCCAAATAGAAAGAGATCCATTGATCTGAATTTCTCTCCAGCCCCACTATTTATGAAACGAATATCATAAGTATGCAAGACAATTCAAATAAACATGTGAATTACAGTAAGATCTCTCTAAATGCGTACTCTAATTCCAGTGTAAATATATACGTAACCTCCATAAATACGCTTTTTCTATTGTTCTTTAAGTGAAGTTAGGCATTTGTAGGGTGCATTAGAGAGGTCTGACTGTAATCGAAAACTAGCAAAGCCTGACCCGTAAATCTCCACATCCGCTCTTGCGAGATAACATAAATTATTATATGAAGAAAATAAATATGTATTAATATAGAAAGTAAAATTACTTCAATATATAGGATCTTCGGTAAAGAATCATATGACTCAAACCTTGATCTTCGGCTTTAGTAAAAATTCTATACGTTTTTGTTACATATAAAAGAATCATAAAACGATTGATGATACATTTTTAATGAATCTTGATAGCCTTTCAGAATTCTTATTCAAAAAAATTTCAGTTATCCTCAAACATATGAGGTTTTTGGCATATCATTCATTTCGTTATATGCTGCTTTTTTTTTTTTTTTTTTTTTTTTTTTTTTTTAATACAACAAAGTGGATATTGTGGATAATTTACTGCTATTCAATTTTAATGCAATTTATAGTAACAATAGAGAATTAAACTTGATAGCACATTACCTCATCCCGGTAGTACTTATTATAATTATGAGAAGCAGCGGATATTATGAAATACTAAAAAAAAACTTATATTTCCTTACGAAAATGGATTTAACTTCAAAATTGATTGAATAAATACGCTGCCCATAAATTTTAAGAATAATTGAAATTAGTTAAATCTGAACAATATACTTTATCAAGACAATGCATATAAGCAGAATTTTATTCAAATTTTTAAATTAAATAATAAAAACCTTATCAAGGTAAATGGGTAAATTGTGCCAGTTTTAGGTGTAGTTTCTGGCTCTCTCAAGCTGGTAAGGTATATAAAAATCATACTTTCTGAACTATTCATTAATATAGCTTATTTTCATCAAAAATTATTTCAAAATTAAAAAATTGGTTTTTTCTTTCTATTAAAAAAAATCTATGTACAATAATTAGTCATACGTAATACTATAATAAAATCAACTGATCTATAAATATTATAAATATTGAAATAAGGCAAACATGTGACTATAAATATTGCTTATTAACAAGTTACAAAACGCATTTAGCACTTGATAAAAACTTTATTTACCAAAATGATATGGAAAGAAGAAAGTGATTATCCGGAAAGCCCTGATATTGTCCTAAAAGATGAACATCAAACTTTCAAGTTTCATATCATTAAAGAAGGCGTATATCTACCAAAGAATAAACTTAAATATACTCGGCGCCCTGCAAAGTATCCTATACCCCATAATTATGTTGTTCAAACTACGTATTCAAAAAAAAAATATATTGTTGAGTGCTTGATAGTTTATATTGATGATAAACCATTATATCAAATATACTTTGGAGAGTATTTAGACAAGCTTGTAGAGTCAGATCAGTCAACTTCACATGCTGCACAGTTATATTATGAGGTAAAATAATAAATATTTTAAATACTAATACAGTAATACTACGTAGAGTTGTTGGTGAAACTAAATTATGTATGAAACCAGTGACTATCTATAGTCTGATTGGCTAATTTGATAAATAGCCAATCAGATTTTAGTAGATAGTCACCAGTTTCACCCGCGTAATTTAGTTTCACCAACAACTATATTTAATATTATATAATTTTTACTGTATTAGACTTTGTTTAAAGATATTCAAAACAATGAACAAGCAGAATCCAAAAGCAGACTCTCTGGACCACTTCTTTTTGGCTTATGCTGTAAAAGTGTAGAGGAAGTTCGTAAAACAGTAACGTCAAATGAGCTAGTACGAATGAAACCATTTAATAATTATAGCACCTCAGCACAGTGCAAACATATATTAGGTTTAGGAAAACGGATGCTAGAATTTGTAGAAGAAGAAAAAGAGAATTTTTTTCATCCAAATGATAACATCGTTCTTAAACAAGCAAAGTTTGAAATCAGTGATCATACATATAATATCAATTATGGAAAAATCGATGAACAACAAATAGAATTACAAACACAAGCTATTGTAAAGTCAATTGATCGTAATTGAATTTCTCAGGAAGCATATAGGTCTTTGGCTAGACTTGACGAAACACTAATTAGAGCTGGAGCAGTTTATGATATGAGACAAGAAATAACAAATTGAGTAAATGAAAAAATTCCCATTAGTTTAGTCGATATTGATCAGCTAACCAGTTTTGAACCAATCACTGAGGAGTCTGATATTACAGATCCAATCATAGTTTCTAACGTCATTGCATCTATTGGTAAAGGTAGACAAAGACGAATTACAGACATACTTAACTATATAGTTCCATTTTATATTCAAAGAGAGGTTTTAAACCCTGGATCTACCTTACATTTACGTATATCCGGAGATGGCCGGAACGTCGGCAAAAAAGTTAAGCATGTTATGGTTACTGTTGCACTTTTAAATAGTTTAGTCAAATTGCATAAACCAGAATCACACTATACGTTAGTTTTATTCCCCAGTATGGAAAATTATTATTCACTTCAAAATACGCTAGCACCTTTGATATCAGACTTACGATTTTTAAATGAACATGGATTTTATGAAGTTGGAGGAAGATATTGGAATGTCGAGTTATATTTTAGCTCAGACTGGAAGTTCCTAGCTATTTGTCTAGGAATGAATGCAGCAAACTCCAAGTATTTTTGCCCGTGGTGTTGTTGCAATAAAGAAAATTTAACCAATATTATTGAATATAATACAATTTCTAAAGATATGCAAAAAATTAAAGAATCCTACTCGGAACTTAATAGACACATTTGACCTCCTCTTTTTGATATGATTCTGATTAAACATTAGGTATGTGATAGTTTATATGCTATGTTAAGAATAAGTGACAGACTCTGGGAATTATTTTTATCAGACCTTCAACGTGGTGGTCAATTAAATGAAAATTTGCAAAATTTGATTTTAACTGAAATGAAAAGGCTACGAATTAATCATTTTCATTTTTGGATTGAAAATACAACACAAAGTTCATCTTATACATCATTAATGGGTCCCGATAAACTTAATATTTTGGAAAATTTTGGTTTTACTAATTTTATATCAAAGAAATTTTCTCAAGAACGTGCTATTAAACTTCGCCAACTCTGGACCGGCTTTTTTGAATTATACAAGATGATGACGCTACCGAATATAACAGGATCAGAATTTAAAGTTAAAGCAGAATCATAGTTAAAGCTATTTTTAGAACCATCTAAGGGACAACTGAATCGACCAAATTTTATTCGTGGAATGTATCAGATAAATATATATATATATATTTTTTTTGCCTTAGAATTTTATAAATATTATATAATGTTTACTTGTTTATACAAACAAAAAGGTAGCTGACGCTACGCCTTACATACATGTGTTAGTATCTCATATTCATGAATTGATTGACATTCATCAAGAATTTGGAATAGCCACTTTTAATTGCTCGGCTATTGAGAAAAAAAACCATCTTCAAGTTTGTCGCTATTTTCAATCTACACTTAAAGATGGCGGTTATGAAAACTATAGACGATCGTGCATTCTTGAATTATTAGAGCACGAAAACCGGGAACTATTTTTTCACCTTTTTGAAGTGCCGAATTACTTTAAAAAAAGTACATCCTATAGATTGGAAAATTAGTTTATCATATTTTACTTTTTGAATCTAATACTGTTAATAATTAATGTAGTTTTCTAGTGGCTAAGGATTTATAGAAATCAGATTAGTCTGAGAATAGCTTATTACATATGTGAGTATAACATTACTAAATGAAATAAAGTAATGGTCAATATTAATGCTTTGAAAAGTGTGTAGGTTAGATTTTAAATTAATAGTTTAGATTTGCCTAACGGGTATGTTTTTTTTAGAGGTCTTGCACATAAAAATGCCAATTGGAAAATTTATTGTAATATTCTATAACATTTTTTTAGTTGATATTAGAATTATCTGATATCATATTTGATTAAACTATATTTAATGTAGAAATATAGCTAGTCGTATTACGAATAAATTACATACTATAAAAATAACAAGTATCTTGCGAAATATTCTCAATATTAGCTCACAACCTTTTTTTTTCTTTTTTACGCGCCTTCTTATAGTCAATTGACCCCTTTTTGACACGAATGTCAGTTGTCACAACCTCACCTAAAATAAGAAAAATTTAATAAATAATAGCATTAGATAACATTAAAGAAAAAGAATTCTTTTACGAAAATACCTAAATTATCAGAACATTCATTTTGTCTATGTATGAAATGGATGAGGTAGTCAAACTATATGTAATCACTAATTATATCGACATCTTAAGTTTAATGTTTGATAAAAAGAAAAAAAGAAAACAGAAGCAAAAATTCATTCCGCATCAAAGCGTAAATATTCTTTAAAATAAATTTCTGAGGTCATTACTCTATCGAATACTATATTAATAGGTAATTCTGCTTCCTATAGTTTGTTCAATTTAATTAATCAAATTATTTCTATGGAAAACAAGCCAAAAAATAATAGAAAATTATATATTGTTACATATTAAATACTATAAATGGATTTCATAAATTAAAAAAGTAGCTCTTCTTGTACTCCAGGAACTGACACATATTAAAAAAGTAGCTTTTCTTGAGCTTCAGGAACTGAATTCGAATGAGTATCGCACAGGTCAAATCTATCAAAACATTGCATAATATTCCTGTCTTAAAATAATCAAATACTAATTTAATATGTCACGGCTGAAGCTGGAAATTTTAATTTTAATATGAAATTTTCAAAAATTTTTTTTAATACTGTAATTAGGTTTAGATTTAGGGTTAGTTTTGATAATTAAAGAGTATTTTTAGACCGAAGTCTCTAATTTCCAGCTTCAGCTGCAACAATAAACACTAAACTATGTGTGCTGCATTAAAAAGTCAATATATCGAACCTGAAAGATAGAATTTTATCGCCATCACACTTGATCCAGTGACTTCAATTCTTGCAGACGAATTTATCAAACTGAATTCTCAGCTGCTAAAAGAAATAATCAACGAAGTTGCTAAAATAAAATGAATAGATTATAATCTAATAAAATCTTAATTACAAATATTTGTTTCTTTTCAGAAGGCTCAAGTTTTACTTTCATTATTTCTCAATCTCGTTACTATAATAATGGGCTTTTAAAGCAGCCATTAACTTTTTCTCAGCTATATTCGTGTAAACTGGGCCTGCTCAAGGTTTTGGCGCAAAAATTTGACATGCAATGCCATAAGGTTTTTGAACTTTAATCTATAAAATTTAAATATCAATAACATTATACAGATGCGAAAAAGAAAAATTTTTATTACCAATTCCCCAGTCTTTTTGTGAATGCTTAATAGAGGCTATCATTTTAGCATTTTCCTCTTCAAAGGCATGATCCATTTCCAAAACATCATAGTTCACATCACGATGTTCTTTATATTCTTTACAAATGATTTAAAAATTTGAGACACTCTTGGTCGAGAGATTCACTACCTTCCCATAACCATCTATAAGATCTTTCAGCTGGCAACCATCCACATTTTAAAAGATCTATGCTTGTCAGTCGATCTTTAGCATTATGGTGCAAGCACCAGCGAATAATATTTACTTGTCTGTTCATTTTCTCAAATGGAAAATCTTTTGGGAAGGCTATTTCAGGCCTTCACAAATTTAAGATAGTCTAAATATTTATTAAGACGTTATTGTATCTATTACAAAGGATTTGAATCGCAAAATATGTTACACAGCGAAGTTACTTACTATTCGGCATTCTATTTCAGTAGAAAATTTGTAGAAAATTTCAAATAAAATGATTCTTATAAAGAAATTCGAAGAACAAAGAGTAATGTTTTGTTGATACGAGTGCGTATTAAAAAAAATCAAAATGTCATTGAAAATAAAAATAAAAATTCATCAACAGGTTTGGGTTTTTGTGGTACCAGTAATAGATTTTTTGAACAATCAGTTAAAGAATAGCGATCTAGAAATCAAATATAAAGCGGTGTGTTAGCATAACATGCTCCATAGAGAAAAAAAAAAAAAAAAAACCAACCATTCATTATAAACTCCAACTATATATATGTTTTTGTCTCGAGACGATTTGCCTCTATACCGAAGTAATCTGTCTTTAGTTATAAGAGTAAAAAATTTGCTAAGTATTCTAACCCATGTTTTATTACAGTAACTAAGAACTAATAAACTTAAAAGGGTATTTGTAGTTTATCAACTTTTATTAGAACAAAGATTCTAAAAATTTACAACTGGGTATTTTGAATATAAGTAAAAATTTTTTATTTATACGCAAAGAACCCAGTGTACACCTAATATAGTAATGAGAGTACAAAAAAAAAAAAACTATTCTAAAACTGACCTTGATCAACTACGAATCTAAAAGTTACTTCACCACTTTCACAATGATGTTCGGCCTTGTCACTAAATCCTTTCATTCGCCATTCAATTAGTAATCCTTTTTCTAAATAAAATTTTTTTTTTGGTTTAAATTTTGATTCTGATGTAGCTTGGTCCGTTTCATTTTCATATAATTTGATCCATGATAATTGTCCATTTCCGTAATTTCGTTCTGCCCATTGATTATCTCCGAATATTTTTGTTAATTGATCGATCGCTTCTTCTCCATCAAAAAAACATTGATACCAACTCCCGCAAACAGAATACCAAGTTAAATATTGACCAAAAATGCCAACAAAACTATTTTCACTGCAATGAATTGAAAAAACCTGCTTTCTAACTTTTGAGTAATGATTTTTTAACCGTTTTTGTAACTCTTTTACCATAGTATTTTTGATATGATATAATTCATGTTCTGGAACTAGCAAAATATGTGCAGAAATTTCCTTATAATTACTATGTTTCAAACTTTCATGTCGTTGCAAACCGGCTTTTGATTTAAAGATTCTTTTACTATCGCAAATTGTGCAACGAAAATGAGTTAAAGTACTTGCAGTAGGCATTTTAAACCTTTAAAAATCAATAATATTATAAAAAGTATAAGTCTTATATACCAGGTTATTTTTAAAGATTTCATTAATAGTAAATGCTTGCTATATTACATACCTATAGTTTTTTGATCAGTTGACCCCACGAACGATCGGTTGGACGCGAATAAGATATAGTAAAATGATGTATATCAGTTGATTTGATTTTAATTTTGGGGTACTGTTTTGATCAGATTATATTAAAATTGGGGTTCTTCTCTATAAAAATTATGTCCCTAAAAACCAAATCGGTGGATATGTTCTACTCAGTTTGTAATTAGTGTAGTTAGATGAATGTAAAAGATTATTATTAATTACAGTTCAAGTTAAATTCCAGTTAACTTGTTTTGAGAATTGTTTCCAGAGTTGTGCTCTAAATTGTGAGAACTACATAGCAATTGTAAAAGTATTGCAGATATTTTTGATGAATTTATATGTTGGTTGTTCAATAGAAAAGTTTTCCTATTGAAGTATATAGGAATTGTTAAAGTAATTTGTATGATTAAATTCAAGAAATCCTAAAAGTAAGTAGTGTGAGGCTAAGTAGTTTGCTATATTGTTAAATTCATTATCACTATAAGCTTGGACCTTATGAAAAGTGATATTGATATTTTGTGATTTAATAAAATTAAATAAAGTTTCCTAGATTTGCCAATAGTTATATTTTGTTTTGGTATTATAGTTTTTTGTTTGTTGTTAAGCTTTGTTGAATTTGGATATTACTGATTATAAGTCAGTAAAAATTTGTATGCTACAGTTTTTTGGTGTTGTACTTATAGCTGAGAGTATTGTAATCAGTTCTGCTTTGTATGATGAAAGCCATGTTTTGATTTGTGCTACGAAGGTTTGAACTATTTGGTTATTGATTATTTGAACCTAGTCAATTTCTATAGAGCATTGGTCTGTGCAAATATTTTGTATTGAACTATCAATATAAAATATAAACTCTTTTTGGTTCAAATTTTGTAGTGCTATATTTTATAAGAGTTTAGAAATTTCATTAGATTTGAATATTTTATTTGTATAGTTGGTTTCTAAATTGATATTTGGAAGAAGTGAGATAGTTAATGGGTATCTGATTGCTAGATTGTAAATTAAGTCTACAATATTAGCATTAAGCTTCAGTTTATTAGAAGAGCTACTTGCAAGAGACCCAGCTCAAACTTTAGTACTATGTGTAGCTGATACTTCAATAGTATATAAGTTTTTAATACGATTAGAGTTTTGGTTGCAACCTGAACAAGGAGTGCAGTTGGTTTGTAGATTAGAATAGTAGGCTATATAACTTAGATTATAGTCTATAGTCCAGTAAGTTATTGATATAGAGTTGTTGTTTGAAAAGAATTTACGAGCTTTTTCTAAAATAATTTGATTATTTGTGATTAATAGGATCTATAGTTTTTTAGCTTTAAAGTGACCTGTACTTAATGGAAAAGAGTTAAGAGAGTTTAGAGAAACTAATTCAATAATTTTTCTAGTATATAGATTTGTTGTAATCATTTCTTCTAGAAAAGAAAACTATAAGGGCTGCTTTTCTTTAGGCAAATGATAAACTCGTAAAGAGATATGTTGCTATTTAAGAAGAATATTGTTTTCAGAGGTTGTGAGTTAATCTAAATATATAATATTCTTCTTTCAAAGTTGTTGTTTAAATATTGAGTGAGTATTTGTTTAGTATTTGTTCTAATAGATATACATTATGTTGATAGGTTTTTGGCCACTGATAGTTATTATTAGCAGTAATGACTATATTCAGTGAGTTAAAAAGTTTAATAATTTTGTAGGTAGTTGTATATTTGTTACATCTATTGATTGTTTTACATGAATATTGAAGGAGGCTTATGGTAGACTATAAGTTGTTTTTGAGAAATTTAAAAACTTAGAATAATAAAAGAGTTTCAAGTTTTTTAATTTTTTTTCATTTTCT